TTCTATAATAAAAGTCATGATAGAAGCATCTTCAAGTGGAAAAGGTATCTCTATCCACAATTGCCATCAGTGGTCAACAGTCTGAAAAATCATAGAATAATGGAGTTGGAAGGAGTCTATAAGGCCATTAAGTCCAACCTCCTGATCAATTCAGAAATCGAAGTACAGTATATCTTAGATGGTTGCTGTAACAGCCACCCTCACACTTCACAGAGTGGTTGCTACTTCACTTCAAAAACCTCTGCTGCCACCAACTTATCCTTAAAAAATCATAAAAGGACAAGTATATCTTTTAAAAACAAAAACTGGTTTATTGATTACAAAAATAAGAATGGTAAATCACAGGTAAAATCATTTAGTCAATCACTGTTAATAAACGCTGGCTCACACAGACTATTTCTCCACTGACAGACTCACTCACTCTAACTACTAATCACTTTAAACTCTCAGCTCAAACTCTCATCTCCAATCTCCCCTCACACACTCTTCACCCCCCTTTTTATACTAGCTCCTCCCCTTAAGTTCCACCCTCCATCACATCATAGGCTGATGACTCACTGACCAGCTGTGACGGACATGTGATGTTATGTCTGCCCGTTACAGTTGCCTAATTTACTGTTGCATGCCTTGGGTTTTGGAGCGCTTATTACCTCCTGAGGTAATTTGTTCCATTGTTGTACTGCTCTAACAGTTAGGAATTTTTGCCTGATATTCATCTGAAATCTCATTTCCTGTAAACCTGGTATATCACATGTCCTGTATTCTGGGATGATTGAGAGTTCATCATGTTTGTAGTTGTGCTTTTAGAATTTCCTTTTTTAATAAACTCCCTCTCATCTTGGACTCCTTTTCTTATCAGCATTTCCTGCCAAGGAACCTTACTTATCATTGTTCTGAGTTTATTAAAATTGGCTTTCCTACAATCCAGCATATACACATGGCTACACTCTGCTTAGTTTCCTTTGAAATCAAGAACTCAAGTAGTACACGATCACTTTCTCTCAAACTTCCTGTTGCTGTCATTTCTTCCACCAAGTCATTTTTATTAGAATCAAATGAAGAATAGCTACTCCTCTAGTTTCTTCCTCCACTTTTTTAAGGAGAAAATTACCAGTCAGATAAGCCAAGAATTTCTTGGAAGGCCCATATTTGGTCTAATTTTCCTCCTAACAGATATCAGGATAATTGAAATCTCCCATTATTGCTACACTATGCCTCTTTGAAATTCTTGCAGTTTGTTTTTCAAAAGTTTCATTCATTCTTAACCGACCAGATAGGCGAGATATAAATAAAATAAATTAAAAAAATTAATCTTCTCTTATTTTCTTCTCCTATTTTCTTTTACAGTGGTGCCTTGCCAGACAGTTACCCTGCATGACAGTTTTTTCGCTAGACATTGACTTTTTGCGATCGCTATAGCGATTTGCAAAACAGTGGTTCCTATGGGGGAATTTCACTGGACAATGTTCGGTCCCTGCTTTGCAAACCGATTTTCACTAGACAACGATTTGCTTTTCGCTAGACAATGATTTCGCTAAACACCGATTTCAGTGGAACAGATTATCATCGTCTAGCGAGGCACCACTGTACTGCTATCTATAGCCCTGTCCAAGCACTGGGATTTAAATAGAATAGTTGTGGGTAAAGGCAATGATCCAGCCGTGTTGGTTTTAGAGGTTTCATCTCCCTCCTGAAGGGCATGGAGACTGTTATCTGTGGGAGCTCTTTGTAGGAGTCACGACCCTGCTGTTTGCACATTCCTGCCATAAATACAAATTCTGTTCCCTTGTAAGACATTCATCCTGCATTGGCTAAACAGGGCCTCCCCTATTCAGTTCTCAGTAACAATGCATCTTGTCACATCACCAGCAAGCTTTATTTCTACCAACCCCTTTTCCCTCTGTGGCAGTGTGATAAAAATATTTCTCATTCCTTTGCTGAGTCCGTAGATCTTAGCAGTAAATAGCAGCAGGGAAAAGAAAAAAAAAACAGAATATACCTCTCTGCTGTTCTTCTATAAAGAAACTATTCGCAATTCATTTTGTACACAAGAAGAAAACACTTCTTCCAAATGTATAAAGTACTAATTACTGTTTGATGGCTTCTCAGGGAGAGGATTCAATAGCAGTATGGTCAGGTTCGAGAGATTGTTTTCACTGTTCATACATAAAAAATATCAGAGCAGACAGAATCTCAATTTTACTGTCAGTATGTAATAGTTTATCCATTGAAATGCTTGAAATACTCATCGAAACAAGAGCATCAAGAAGGGTCAGGAGAGAACAGATATAAAGCTGAACAGAATACTGCATAGAAATGATGTTTCTTTGTATAGGCTTATACTGTATAGTATTTATATATATAGGCCTATATAGTATTATAGTAAGGTTTGAAACCTTACTATAATACTAGGTATGCAAGTCTTTGCTTATCCCATTTTTGTATATGAAAAGTAGAAACTGAAAAATGTTCTGGTGTTCTTGATGGGAGTTCCCAAGTTTTGGAGAATGATTTTTGCACAAATTGTGTGAAATGTGCAAACTGTCCAAATTACACAAAGTATACAGATGCAAGGTAGTTGCTTTCTTGTTGCATAGGTTTCTAGCAATTAGAAGCATATGATACATAGCTAGAATCTTTTTGATTGATCAGCCAGCCCACTTGTACTTGCTCTGCACCTTCTGCGCTTTGTCTCACAAACAAAAACAAAAACCATTCGTAATGATGATTGGAAGGTTTGTCTATGCTCACTTTTGCTCCTAGTAACAGGAGTACAAGAGGGGACTAAATTCTGATTCAGTATTAAGGTAAAATAATACACTAATACTGTGACCATTACTTCAGTGCTTGATAACGGATTCAGGTTATAATGAACTAGATTTCTACTTAACATAATGAAGAACTTCATTCAGTGAGGGCCATTTGATAATGGAATGGACTGCCTCACAGGAGGGCACCTCACTGGATGGCTACCTCTCAGAAACACGTTATCTGTGGATTTCATGCAGTGGCAGGCAGCTGTGCCCTTAAGGTTTCAATGAGCTCCACAATTATTCTGTGATTCCAATTCAGACAGGTAGCCTCCAGGCTACATTGGCTGGGTTGAAAAAGGTGTGGCTTCAGGCAGAACAAATCAGACCTTTCAGCTTGAGATTCTTGTGAACACAAGGAACTCCAAAGGCCCTCAGCTCTTTGGAACAGCCTCTACACACAGCCCCTACTCTTTTTTTGGCCAAATGTGATGTATGGAAGTATATCACTTTCTTTCTGTGTTCTCCGTGTTCATGGGTAACACGAATGACCTACTGCACAAGAATCTTCTCTCCATGTTATTCTTACTCACTGGAAAGGATATTCCAAAGCAATGGTTTAAGGACAATTTGTTGGTCCTGTCCTAGCTGGTCTGCTTCTGGGACTTTGTCCATCTGAAAAGTTGATCTGCAATCTTAGCATATTGAGACAACATGCCACCTCTCCCCCCCCCCAGTTCCTGGACACTTTGTTGCCATTGCTTTGTAACTTTGGTCCACAAAAAGATGCATTCCCCCATCCTACACATTCTGGATGATAGAAATTCTGTCAACAACTAACAATGCATTTCTCAGCTGCCCCTCCCACTACCCCCGTTTATGTTGCCTTCTGATTTTTTTTTCTTGTTTTGCTATGGTACACGTCAGGCTTTACTAACTAAAAAATCTTTTAAAAGTAAAGTAAAGTAAAGTAAAGTAAAGTAAGGAAGGAAGGAAGGAAGGAAGGAAGGAAGGAAGGAAGGAAAAGAAAGAAAGAAAGATGCAGTTGCTACACAAAAGTTTATGCAATGCAGGTAGGCCTTTGTCTGGTGTGTGACACTCTGAAAACTGCCCCTCCCTCCAAAGCAGATGCAGGAATATCAGGGCCCTGGCTAGCAAAGGACAAATCTATCATGAAAATGTCAACCACAGCTACCAGAGGCAGAGACAGAAGGTACTGAATCAGTTTAGCAGCACTAATCCAGTATGTGGACTTTCCTTCCTGCTGTAGATATTATTCACACTTTGAGTATCAGGTCTATTCTCTGCCAACTTTGCTTGTTTCCATCTCTGTTAAAGTCAAATTAGATGTGATATTGACATCATCATTTTAGGATATTTGTTTTAATTGAGTGTGCAGGGAAGAGAGGTTTAACCCTTTCATAACAGCTCTGATCCCAATGGAAACTCCACCCCCATATGCACTTTCTCTGTGGCTACCATGATGGGATTGGGGGAAAGACTCCCATTGGCACTGGTGGGAACATTTAAACACTAGTAGTAACAAGGGCACATGTAGCAGCATAAGAAAATAACCAGGGAGGTGATGTTGAGGCTTCTCTGCCAGTTTGGGTGCACAACACTAATCTTACCCACATATGTCGACTATCAAGAATCTAGTGCTCAGTCCTTGTCTCTGTGCTATGAGTTGCAGGATCAGTTCTTTAGATCAACAAGTTTAGTCAAATAGGAGTGCTTCATTTTCAGTACTCTTAACTACTACTGTATATCCTACATTCAGTACTCTAAATACTAAATGCTATAGGATACTATATCCTAAAATAACTAAATTGTATTTTGGGAATATTCAGAGCATACATTCAAGCAGATTTTTCTCTTTCTAATTTTTTTAAAATGAGGTTTAACAACGACCAGTCATCCACCTGCCTGCCCACCCTGTTTCTCCCCATGCACCTATTTTGGGAAACATGCAAACACTGTTGGTGTCAATCGAAATAACATCTTTACATTTATGCTGCTCGCTGACCTCAAAGGGAATGAGTAAAAAGATCAAGAGACTGAGGGAACCACAACCCAAATTGGGTATGGCATTTCGTGAAAGTTATGCATGCTCAGTTGTATTTGGCAGTGAGCCACCATGTTCAGAATTAAAAGGTGGATTATTATGGATTTGTTTTCTTTTGGGAATTAGGACTGGCACCGGCTTAGCTTCAGTAGAGGTATTAACCGAAATGCATTTCTGTCTTACAGCTTCATCTCATTTAGCCACTGTGACTTTGGGGTGACTTCCAAAGCAATCCAATCAGAATGAGTCGGCAGATTAACACTAACTTTCACATCAGGATGGGTGGCAATGCAAACGGAAGCAGGTAAGGCAGGATGATGTAGCAGCTAAAATCAATCAGTTGATATTCACGCTTCCTACTGAGGCCTCCCTACCCCACAACAATCTAGTACTGTTTACGGTGTGTATTTTGTCTTTCTAAAATGCAAATAAATTGTATCTTGTTATTATTGACTGGCAGAGTCTATTTTGGCAAGGGAAAATCTCCTTTTTAGTCAGGCAGAATGTCTGACTCAGCCACCCCTGGCTGTGTTTTCCTCTCCCCCATCCCCCACCCTGATGCCTTGGCACCTGCTGAGCTTAATTGGGAGAAATGTCATCCGAGTTCAGTGGGAATACCCTGTCAAGATTATGATGGGATGGGTTGTTTCACTTGTCATTTATGCAAAGATTTAAGCTGGCTAATTTTTTTCCCTGTTGGAAGAGGGAGTGATTGTACATTATGCTGCTTCTCATTCTCCAGGTTCCAAGGAAATACTGCGCTCAGACACAAAATGACAATAAGCACGTGACTTCTGCTGAAATGGAAGCTGTATGCTTACCTTTTCCTTCCCTCTCCAGTTTCCTCTTTTCTGGTTTATGGCAAGCAATAATATGCAGCTAGGGCGCAAAAACATGGAATGACATGGCCTGGAACTCACTGGTTTTAATGTTCAAAACTGAGAATATTTAACTGGTAATGTAGCATGATCACTATGTTAATTGGAACATCAATTTGTGTGCTCTCTGCAGAGGGCACATTTTAAATTCTGCAACTCCCCTCTTCAAAGAGAATTCAATTTGAAAAGCTGTATAAAATGCATTTAGATCAGTGGTCCCCAACCTCGGGCAACCCAGCTGTTTTTAGACTATAACTGTCAGAAACCTTGGCCAGCACAGCTGGCTGTAAAAAGCTTCTGGGAATTGTAGTCCAAGAGCACCTTGGTTACCTAAAGTTGGGAACCTTTGATTTAGACTATCCCAGTCCAAAGACTTTCTTTAACATACCAAAGCTTCTGGAAATTAGAGTCTGCAACAACTAGGAACCCCAATGTTGGGAACCATTGCTTAATATAAAGGCAACCAATCCTCTTCAGCTCTACTTCCTCACCATAACACACACAATAAAAACCTTTAGCTGAATATAGGTCTAAATAAAAGGGGTAAGAGCCTTGCCATATGATTCCAGGTAGCTACTAATCTCAAAGTGACCAATTCCTATTAGACTTAAAATCAACTGAAAAGTACTGCCAATAAATTAAAAAAAAATTGGTTTCCATCTCCCAAAGATAATGTTTGAAAAATAACACTATGCAGGGTAAAACAACCATCCTGTGCAAATAAAAGGCCTCTGTGCAAATGAAATGAAACTAGAATGATTTGCATAATTAATCCCCTAAAGGTCTCTGGTTGCAGGAAAAGAAAGTCTCCATTACTTCTTGTCCTATGCCATGGCTCCAAATTTCCTCTTTGAATGAAACAGGAAAAGAAATTATTGATTAATGCACATGAAAAAGCAAAAAAATAATAATGAGAAAGGTGCTCCATTGGGTTAAGTAGGGTTTCTTTTTCTTTTTATAACTAGAGAAATACTAGTTTAGATTAGAAATTCACACACTTCTGTCTATCTCAGCCCTTTTGCACCAGACAGGGAGGACTCCATGTAAGCTATGTTGTTTTCATGTTTGTTTTCTTTTTTATTCAGATTTACAGTCATCCTTGGGATGGCCAGTGAGAACTGGACTTGAAATTTAGCAGCTTAGTTGTCTGCATTTGGCAGTTCAACAGTAGACCTGCTTCTATAATACGAAACACTATTTGTACCAATAAATGGGGTTGTGTTTTTTTTGGTGCTTTTTCCTGTGCCTTAGTCAATAATTTAATTTGCAGGGAAGGGATGCAGAACTGTAAGGGAACATTCTATGGTTCTGACAGGTCGCTACTGAGTGAGTTTAGATTTACTGGGATTCTGAGCCTTTGCAGGGATGAAGTCTCAATAGATACGATGTTTCCCAGAAGGCAGATGGGTTTGAAGCCAGAAACAACCATTAGCCTGTAATTAGGGCTGAGAGTTACAGAGAGGTAAGTGAGGCACTCTTTCCATGCAGATGAAATCAAATGAATCCTATGCTTAAAATCTGAATAGCGAGTCTTGTGACACTCAGATGCTCATGTAAGTTAAGAATTTGCCTCTTCCATTCACAGGAAAATTTGTTTCTGTCCAGAGTGGTTGAGTTCTTGGTGATTATCCTGCTGTCCCAACTGGTGATTCTTCTGAATGCTTGCTTGAGTTCCTGAATGAGAATACAGCCTGAACATTGAGCTTCCTTCTTAGAACTTAGAACTGCAGAGCTGGAAAGGACCCTATGGATCATTGAGTTCAGCCCTTTCCAAGGAGGCACAGTGGGGAATTGAACCCTCAACTTCTGGCTCTGCAGCCAAAGACATAAACCTCTGAGCTATCCAGAGGTTTCTCCAAGGATTTGGGGATGCTATAACTCACGGGATGAGAGCTGGAACAATGGTGGAAGCTTTCAGCTGAACCCTTCCAAACATAGACTAGAACTTCTTTGAAACCCTATTCTGCACTACGGATGACATCAAACCTTTGTTGGCATCCCAGTTTGGAGCATGCCCTCCAGATCTGTAATTCATATTACAAAATAGTGATCCCTTTGCAAGGCAAAAAGTGAAGTGTGTGGCTTATATACCTCCCCATATCACTTAAAGCACTCTCTGGGCAATTTACAAGTTAAATGCAGGCTACACATTGCACCTCCAGTGAACTGGGTACTCATTTACTGACCTCAGAAGGATAGACCACTGAGTCAATCTTGACCTGTCTACCAGGGATTGAACCCTGGGTTGTGAGCACAGTTTTGGTTGCAATATAGCAGTTTAACCATTGTGCCATGAAGCTCCTTGTTGATTTCCTACCAATCCTGTCTTGATTTTGCACATTAACTGGATTCCCAATCCTATTTTGTCAGCCCCAGGTCTACATCTTACTGGACAAAGCACTTGCTGTATCACAGTCTCATCAGATAGCCTATACAAAGAGAATAGAGTGTGTTAGAACTATTCCTGGATGGAACAGTTCATAGTTCATACTGCAGTTATGTATGTGTACATGTTGGGGTGGAGTGGGGTGGGGAGGGGTGGGGAAGGGATTCTGGATGTCTGGATCTCTGAATGAGTTCCAGGAAAAGCCTATCCTAGCTCAATTCAAGCACATTTGGCAAGGTATCTTGTCTATTGGCCGATGAAATGGAAGAAAAGCTAGGATTCTGCTATTAGGTACATAAGACAAGCTTTTGAACTGTTTTCACATAATAGACAGATCAGCCAGAAAATCAGGGTTTCCCTTTGTAAATATGGATAGCTCGTGCATATGCTATTATTCTTCTAACTGCATGGATGACCTAAATATAGAAACAAGTGGTTTTTTTTTAAATTTTGGGACTCCATTTTTCATGAGAATCTGTCAGTAGACAGATCAGCCAGAAAATCAGAGTTTCCCTTTGTAAATATGGATAGCTTGTGCATATGCCATTATTCTTCTAACCGCATGGATGACCTAAATATAGAAACAATATAAATTATGGGACTCCATTTTTCATGAGAATCTGTCATATAATTTGCCACATCTAGCACCAATCTACAGACTTAGATGTTAAGTATGAAAACAACCTCCTTATACTGTACGTCATTATAACTCAAGGCCTTTTCATTAAAAAACAATATAACCATCAAGTACTGCACTGCATATATATATGAGAAAATCTGTTTTGGAGGGGTCACAATAGGGATGTTTTGACCTTTTCCGAGCACTTTCAGGTTAAGATTTCAAATAAGGTTAATCCATGATTTGTTGTTTCTGCTGAGGTTATCAAGTACCCTTTATTTGAACTGGATGCCAATTGTCTAGACAATCCTGATGAAAGCTGATTTCCTAAGCTAAGCCCATTTTCTGTATGGCATCTACTGCACTGTCACTGTTAAGCCAAAACAGTATTTTAAACATTTCCTGTCAATGCTGTACCTGCCCAATTCCTTTTTTCATCCTCCAGTAGCTGTCCCTATCCTCTTATGTCTATTACTTTTATAGTAGCACAGGTGTACACGGCCCTTCCAACACAAATACACGGTTCTCATTCTGAGCAGCTTAAAGCTTAAGACCTCAGCTACTCTCTTGCTTAGCACACAACATAAACATGGGTGTTGATGGGTCCTCAGGAATTGGCAGTTTGTACAGGAAAGAGAATTAAGATCATTAGAAAGCAACAAATCAGGATTAGAGACTGGGTGTCAAGTCAGAGTGTCTGAGGCCTGAGCATCTCTCTAAGAGCCCTAAGGACTTTAGAAATATCTAAGAAAAAAAAATCAGAAAACTTAATTATTTTAACACTCTGTAGCACATAATTTCACATCTTGACATGGCACAGTCTTAGCTCAAAGTAGGAATCAGTAAATTGGGAAAGAGGGGCTTGAAATTTGAAAGGTGTTACACTTCAGTAGTGGACATCATGGTGCATTAAGGCTTTATTTTGTATTTTGCACAAAACAAAAATTTAAAATGTTAGAATGCATAAAATGAGGAAAGAGGAAAAATATAAAATATGACGCAAGCAGAATAGTGAATGGGTGACTAAAGCAGCTCACTTTAAGAATCGCAGAAAAACCCTAAGCCAAATAATAATAGAAAAAGGACAAGCATTGAAGGAGTCAATCTAATCTCTCTGAGAAGAGAGTTTCGGCTTTTAGATGCCGCTAGAGAAAGTGGAATGTAAGACCTAAAAGTGTTGAAGTGCAAAGAAACTTAATAGCAACTTGGCAACTTAGAATGAAAGAGAGTCAAACTAGACGTAATACTAGTTGTGTTAATGGGGACACATTTTAAAAATGTAAATAAAAGTCTCAGAGCCACCTGAGCAACAGAAGGATTGCAACAGATGAGGAAGGAATGATTAGCCTTTCCTCCCTCTTCCTTGATAAAATGGGAAATTGTTCACCCGAGCTTCCCTCTTGCAGGGTGAAAGAAAGCACCAGTGGCATCTCTGGGACCTTGCTTGCTGATTTGTCCTTCGTATGGCTGAAATTTGCATTTTTAAAAATACAGACATTAACTGCAGTGAATGATTGGTTTAAAAGACATAGACATTCGTGCAATAAATGGCTGGTTTGGTCCACAAGAATGTGGAAAGTAACTGTTTACTTGCTTCTTTTGTTTCACCTTCCAGGCTGATTCACAAAAAGAGACTTTTGGCTGGGGAATTTTGCTCCAATCAGAAATTAATATGGTAACAAAAAAAGGAAAGGAAAGGAAAAGAAGCAAAAGCAGACTACAGAGTGATGTACAAAGTTTTACTGAAAACCCATATAACTGGACAAACAAGGATTATTTGCCTACTAATGATTTAGCCTGCAAGGTAAAAGATTCTGAGAGTTTAGTCCAAAAAGGTAACTTTTCCAGGCTGTTGTATATCTATGACAGCAATTAAGCAATTTAAATTTTCCTTTCTTGATATGATTCACAAGAAGCCGTAAGATTCACTTCCAACCATTCATTAACCCAGTCTTGTAGACAATATCTAATAGCATTAGTTCTATTGCAGTAATTTCT